AGTCCCAATAAATGAGTTTTTCAAAAGCTCATGAAATGACAGACACAATTATATATTTCAGTAAAATGTTTGAAAAACTCAGTCATAATCTCTTTATATTAACGTGGAAATCTGCAAATGATTCTTGTTGATGAGTGAACTGATATGGTGCTGGAAGGAAGACTCTGCTGGCATTCCAGGTTCAGCACTTTTTATTAGCTTAAGTGACCACAGAGAAATCACGCTCATTAAACTCACAGATGCCATAAAGTTTGAAGGAACTGCTAATAAACTGAAGACTGGTTAAAAAGATCAAGGTGAACTAGAAGGAGCAGTCAGAACCAGAGATGAAATTGAACAGGAGACATGGAGGCACTAAATGTGGGTTGGAAACATGTTAGAAAGGGGAAATCTGTTTTCTTAGGGAGTAGGAGGATAGTTTTTGTGATAGATGGGAAACAACATAACCATCTCTGAACAAGCAGATGGCTATTATGGAAAGAATAAGTGTTTAAATATACTGACCTAGGAAGAGTTACAAGACATATCACTAAGTAGGAAGCTAACACAGAAAAAGTGATTTAAGAAATGCAAGCAAAGAGATGGTGAGATGGGGCAAAGGTGCTTGCTGCCAAGCCTGAAGACCTGAGTTCGATTCCTGGAACCCACATGTTAGAAGGCAAGAACTGACTCCCAAAAGTTGTCCTCTGACCTCCACACACATGCCATAGCATGTGCCCCCCCCCATATACACAAAATAAATAAGTGTAATAAAACAATTTATAAATGCAAGTAAAAATGACTGTATATCTTTGTTTATATATGTATGTTCCAGGACAGATGGTCCTTGACTTATGATGGGGCTTACATCCTGTAAACTCATTGTGAGTTGAAGACATCTTCAACTGAAAATGTAGTAATCCACTCATCTTACTGAGTATTTAGCTGAACCTCACAGCACATTGTCATGGTTTTGCCTTATGATTACTACTATTGCCCAGGAAAAAGAGAAGACCAGACCGAGCAACACAGTAGCTCAGGAAAAGGTCCACATTTAAATTCAGAGTGCTGTTACTACTAGATTCTTATCATTTTGGAGCCATCAAAAAATAAAACATGCCAAAACTGAACCATTGTCATTTGGGACTATATATACAACTATATGGGGAAAAAAAGAGATTGGAAGGATATACTTTGAGCTATTGGTTTGGAGATGTCTGGGCAAGAGAGTGAAATAAGGCTAAAGTTCACTTTTGACTTTGTGCACTTTGTGTTTAATTTGAATTGAAAGTGTGTCTATATGTTAAGTTTACATTATATGAGAAATATCAGTTTCATTTAAAAATGAAAATTGAAATTACACAGTGGGATCATGTCCAGAAGAGTGGTCCTGTGGTGTGACCCCCTGGAGTATCACACTGACTACTAGGTACCTCCCTTCAGCAGGTCACCAATGAGCCTTGAAGAGGAGACTCCTGATAATAACCACAGTCTGATGATCAGAGTTCTGTTTTATTTATTCTTGGAGAAGCTTAAACCAGCTAGAACTTACTAGCAATTGCATACAGCAATTGCTTAATATTGAATGAGTTGAATAATCAACCCAGAGAATCAAGTCTATTTACTGTGTGCTCAAGTGGAAATAGACCTGTTTTGGGTCTACAAAATGAGGTCAGACAGAATAAGGCTGGATGGGAAGCAGGTATGATGAGGAGGCAGGAGTTAGTGCAGCATGGAAAAGAAATCCTCCAGGTGGCGGGCCTGGCCCTATGTGGACTCGCCCCATCAACTCCCTGAGCCTTGCTTCCTGGCATCCATTCCAGGTCTTTCTGTCTCGCTGGGATACTTCTATGTGTTCCTTGTTCCTTGTTTCCTTTAGGTTTCCTCACAAAGAGACCATCCCCCACCAGTCTGTGGAAACAACCATTCCTGGTTCTGACACTCCCATTTCTCTAGCTCTCTTACCCTTTGTGAAGTACTGGCTTGCAGCTGATAACATCTACTGGGATTTGTTGACAGTCAGCCTCCTTCAACATATTTGTTTTCTTCTCAACTGGAGCCCTAGGGAACTAATAGTTTCTGGCACTCAGTTGGTGCTCAATAAATACCAGCTAATGAAAGAATCATTAGAGATGTACAGGAATGGACCACAGAGTCTTGTGAGGCTGTGATTTCTCCATGGATCCCAGCAGTATTGTGAAAGATGCAGGTGCGGGCCTGTGGTGTTGGTTTTAGCTGTGGGAAGAAAGTACACTAGAGAAATTCCAGAAGTCCAATTGATACATCCTCTGTGATTGAACTGCTGTTGTTGGCCTTTGATCTTGACAGTTCTGGAAGCTGTGTCTTCCTGTGTCCCCCAGTAGGACTGAACCTGATGGCTGCTGTGCTCTAGTGTTGCTGTGAGGACTAAAGGAGGTAGGATGTAGAGATTGGTATGCATGCTAGGTTAGTCTAGAGACTTGACAGACAAACCTGTAGCATTCTTCATTACAGCACTGGTTTCCTTTTCTATTCACATATTTTTATTTATTTATTTATTATTTATTTATTATGTATTTATTTGAGGCAGGGTCTCATGTCATCCAGGCTAACCTTGAACTCATTATATAGCTGGGGATGACCTTAAGGTTTTGATTCTACTGCCTCAGTCTTCCAATTGCTGGGATTCCAGACATGCCCCACCATGGCCATTCATTCATTCATTCATTCATTCTTCATTCATTTTTCTAGTGTTAGAGGTGTAACCCAAGGGCTTGTGTATGTTAGGCAGACATCTCACCATCAGCTAGTTCCGAGGCCTTGGCTCTCTTGAGTTGCAGCTGTCTCCTGTCCTTACTCTGCTGCTGTATTTGCACTCAGCCATTCTTCTCTGGCTGATGTGGTTGGCCTCTGAGGTCACTGTGTTGTGCTTATTTCACACTCTGTGTCAACATGTATTTTCTCAAGCTTCCAGTTGACTTAGCTTTGCTGGAGGCATTCCTATCTAAAATGTTATTCACCATTCTGCTTGGGGTCTATAGAGTAGAAACAGATGACAGTGACATCCTACTGTCCTAAAGGGTGAGTAAATTATATAAATTTCCCCATTTGGTTTCCTCAGGCTCGAGGAGTATTTAGAAAGCCCATTTTAAGATGAGGAAACTGAGGCCAGGGTAAGCAAGGAGACTTTCAGCACTTATAAGCTGCTCCCCGGTGAGTCACTGGGTCAGAAACAGCCTAGGCTTGGGGAACTAATGAAACACTCTATTGTTCCTGTGAGTGAATCCAATCCACTCAGAGTAGTAGTGGCCTGTCTTTCCACAGGTGACATCTGTTTGACACGGTGTTTCCTTTGTCAGTAAATGCCATGCAGGTTGGATGGCCTCACCTGTAACCCCCAGAGCTCACTTGCACTGAGGACTTCTCATCAGACACATTGGCAATGGACAGTTCAGCATGATCATGTTCAGAAGTCAAGCTTTAATTTTCAAGCTTGTGGCCAGACATCTCTGTCAATTTTATGAAGTGGCTGTTGGTGGTTTGTAATTATTTGGGTCCTGCCTTTTAATACCTTGAGAGTGATAATCTTCACAATGTGTGGGAGGAAAACTAGCTATTTAAAAAGCTGTGAGTTCTTTTAACAGGCTATGTGCAGGGCACCCTGGAAGGTGGGAGGGATTGTTCACTTCTATTACCTGAGTAGAAGTGGGCTGAGTTTTATCCTTTATGCTACTTAGTGTATGACCCTCCATAAAAATAGTCATTATCATTGATGTTTAAAATGCTTTGGCAACCTCTGATGGGCAGCTTGTGCCTTGAATGACAGAAGTATTGGTGCCATTCTGGGGGAGCCAAGTGCAGGCAGTTACTGACCTGGCTGGCAGGTTATGTATGTCCCATGAGGATAGATACTAGAGAGTATAAATCAGTCTCATGAGCCACATTCTTCTAGACACAATGAAAATCTCACAGGAAAAACACCACGGAGGACTGTTCTGTCTCAGTCTTCACCACAGAAGACTTTTTAATTTTTTTGGGGGGGGGTCTTTTTGAGACAGGGTCTCCCTGTAGTCCCAGCCATCCTGGAACTCACTATGTAGACCAGGCTGGCCTTGAACTCACAGAGATCTGCCTGCCTCTGCCTTCCAAGTGCTGTGATTAAAGGCGTGTGCCATCACACCTGGCTCGGACTTTTTAATTTTTAAGTTAGAAGAATTTCATTTATTTATTTAGATACTGGTGCTCAAACCCAGAGGCTTATACATGCTAGGAAACATTTTATCTCTACCCTATTCCCCTAGCCTAAGAACATCTTAAAATGTCAGTTCCTGTGATTCTACTAGAAGTCACACTGATCCTGTCACCCTGGCTTAGCATCCTGCAAATTGTGTTGTAATCCTCACACTTTAGTTTTTAGGATGGGGCTCATCAAATCCTCTTGGAGGTCAGGACTGGAGTGATGACTCAGTGGTTAAGAGGACTGGTTGCTCTTCCAGAGAGGGCAAGTTTGGTTTTCAGCACCTACACTGCAGCTATTAACTGTTGGTAGGTCCAGTTCCAGGGGATCTGATACCCTCTTCTGGCCTCTGTGGGTGCTGCATGGCACAGGTGCATTTATATACATATACGCATAAAATAAAACAAAAAAATTAAAACTTTTAGAGGTGGTATGGATTTGGGCAGCAATTATCTCCCCTTCCCATCATCTTTTCTAGTCACAGAGGCTTTTCTGTAACTGGGGTATACAGAAGAATCCAGAACAGTGGGCACATACTCATGGGGTGTTGCAAAATATAGACAATGAGTATATGCATGCAAAATCACTATTTATGAAATACAATTAGCTATTCTATTGAAACTGTATTTAATTCTAAAGAACTAGTATACAAATAATTATTTTAATATTTTAAATGACATTTGAAATTTTACAAAATTATTTTAGTGACAAGCATGAAATTATAACTCTTATTTACTGTTACAAAATGGCTTCTTAAAGCCATTCTTGGCAGTAGGAATGTGTCCCCTTACTGGTGTTGTTGAGTACCATTTTGTGGAAACCATACCAAACATACTGCAGTGTTGGGGTTCAGCTTGTCCTAGCACAGTTACATATGGACCTAAACTCTAGTTTCTACTTTTTCCAAATATCTATCAGTTCTGTTTCCAGTTAATAAATTGATGCTGAAGAGTTAAGAAAACAAACTTTCAAAGTAGAAAAACTCATTTTTAATCAGCAGAATTTAGAATCTACAACTTCCATTGGTTCTTTGAAAACAGTTAATCCCCTGCCCCCGACCCTCACCCCATTTTGTGTCTGCACCATTAAATTGTACTGTGGCAGTGAATTTCCCAAGCGGCCTCTTGAAGTCAGTGTGCCTTTGAATGCTGGTTGCCACATCCCACAGTGACAGAGGAGGCAAATGTTGGGAGGGAGAGAGGGCAGTTGGTGGGACATCCAGTCTGTCTTTTAGGCAAATTACACTTGAATATTTGAATTGAGGCCTTTTGTTCTCATAAGGTATCATGAAAAACTTCCAGTTTGTCTTGTTTGAGACAGGTTGTGATATTGTTGCATACAACACACAGTGATTATTCATATATATATATGGCAAATGACCTCTCAGTCACACTGTGGATTTCCTATAATCAAAGGCCATCTTTTCAAAGACCTTGTGTGATCTAGTTACATACCATGTATACACCGCAACTGAACCTTTGAAATAGGGGGAAGGTATAATGGTTTTTAGAATATCTTTAGAACAAAATAACCTATTTTATATTAAGGCTTTTCATTGGAAAAAAGTACATAGAGCTTGAAGCATTAAGTAGCTTTGTCCATTGTTACAGATTAAATCTACCAAAGCAAAAACAGAATAGTGATTCTTTACCTTTAAATGGGAGAAGCTTAGGGACGGGCACCCAAAGGGAGGCACAGAGAACTTTCTTAGCACCCTCCTCAAGACCTGGGGCCATCTCTCCAGTCCTCAGAGAAAGAGAAACAATTGCTGAGCTCCTTTGTTTAAAGGATGATTGTGTTCTACCAGAGTAGCCTCTACCAGCACAGGATCTCACTGGAACTAACTTTAGTAAGGATTAATACAGGCATAGAATTAGGCCTTTGTTTTGGAGCTTTGGGGGAGGAGAGCCCCATGGAGGCATCTGGAGTCTTACTTGAGGCCTACAGGGACTTCAAATGGTGGCGTTTAAGATGGGAATATTTGTCTTGGGAAATGCTGGTGGCTGTGCTTTACCACTAAGCATAGGTTGGTCCATCCTTTCATTCAATCTTTTATCTAGCAGCCCCACGACACATTACACTGGTCTTTTTGACTTTCCTGAACAATATCTCACAAACAGATAGCACAATTCTGTGATATTTAGCAGGATACAAATTCCAGACACAGAAATCATGAACACAGTAAAGACAGTTTTTTCTGTGGGCCTGGAAATGAAACAGTCCACTGTATTGGGACAAGGCCAGGCGTTGCATTTCACCAGACGCTGCATGAAGAAGCCATTGTACATGATGTAAAAGACATACATGAAGACAGCTTCAAAGATGACCCGGAAGAAGATGCTGGTTGTGTAGGTCCACCACAAGGACCCTTCAATACGGACCTTCTGGGTTTTGATCTCTTCGATGTCCTTAAATTCATTCTTTATCTCTCCCTTAATGAACTTCCTTTTTTTTTCATGTCTCCGGTAGGCCACGTGCATGGCTACCAGGAGTGCTGGCGTGGACACGAAGATCAGCTGTAGGGCCCAGAGCCGGATGTGAGAGATGGGGAAGTAGTGGTCGTAGCACACATTCTTGCATCCAGGCTGGAGAGTGTTGCAAACAAAATCAGCTTGCTCATCTCCCCACACCTCCTTTGCAGCTACCACAAGGATCATGATGCGGAAGATGAACAGGACGGTGAGCCAGATTTTCCCAATGCTGGTGGAGTGTTTGTTGACACCCCCCAGGATACTCTGCAATGTGCCCCAATCCATCTCTTTTTCTGGGTGGTTGGCACTAGAAAAGACAAATGAACATAACACAGGAATCATTGGGCTGGCCAGAATCTGGGTTAAATCTCTGGTTCTGGATAAATACTCTTAACTCTCTTCCTGAGCAAACACCAGTGCTTACACAAACTTCTTTAGGATGGTGATAGTACAATTTACTTTGCCAGAGGAGTATGTGTGTAGCTCCCAAAACATCTTCAACATGTTTCTGTGTGTTCTTTAATAAATTTCTCTAAAAAGCTTATTCATCCAATCTTTAGCACATAATAAAAGTGTGGGTATGGGGCTGGAGAGATGGCTCAGTTGTTAAAGGCGTTTGCTGCTCTTCCAGAGGACTGGAGTTAAATTCCTATAACCATGTTAGGTGTCATAGCTACCTGTTATTCCAGCTCCAGGATATCTGATGCCTGCCTCTGGCCTCTGCTTTTGGCCTCCACCAGCACTGCACTTACATATACAAATCCACATACAGACACATGCATATACACGTAATTAAAAGCACTAAAATATTTAAAACATGGAGGAACTTGGGGACCAGTTTCTCTTTTTTTAAAGAGGGGTTCAGGGGTAAACCAAAGCAAAACACTTGTTAGCTTAAAGGCAAAAAGTGAGTCCTGGCCAAACCCAGTGAGCCCTCTAAGGATATACCTCACAAGTTCCTACCTCTACACTCTGTAGCACCAAGCTTTGGACTGTCTAAAGAGGACAGACAAGCTTGGGTCAGCCTTAACTTAAAGGCACAGAGGTCAAATTCAGATGATGTAATTTGTGGAAATTTCACCTGATCTCATCTTGTTTCCCTGCAGTGGCTGCTTAAAAAAATTAATTAATTTTCAAAGGCTTGGGAGCAGGGGTGAAATAGTTATTACTAATAGTTATTTTACATTTGAGATTCCTCAGTTTAACTTTTCACCACATGCCTTGCTTCCCTCTTCTATATGAAAGTGCAGGGTAGGAATGAACAGTCGTTCCAGTGAGAAAAGCCACCTACATGTAAGTTCATAGCTGCATTGTCATGTTGGGACTGTTTGATTAGTACTCAGTATCTGTTTTGATAAGGGTTCTAAGTGAGCTTTGTTACTGTGGACTATGATTTTAACTTAGAAGTGATTCTAAAATAAACATATTGTGAAAAATGACAGGAAATTTAGCTCAGGGGTTCCCCAGTTACTGGTCCAATCTGCCATCAGTTCAGAAGCAAAGCTGCCTTGGGTTGACACAGTGCTTATTGACTGTGTGCCTTGGCTGATTGTCGATGAGCTGGTGGCCTTGTATTACATCCCAAGGTAGGAACTGTCCTCACTGATTCATAGCTACACCCCATCTGTCACAATCAACCCCTCTTTGGAATGAGATCTCACCCTCCCCACCATCCTGGTGAGTCACCTGCTTTCTACCCCTTCCAAGCTGTAATGAACCCTTCTGCTCTTACTTAAATGCATCCTTCCCTCTTGTTGTAGGCAAGTTTCATCCTGCTTCTCAATGGACTAAGAACAGGCTCAGGGTGATGTCCTTTATTACCCATTGTGGCTGCTGTGGAACACCAAGGTCTTGGTGGAACCCACTCAGTGATGCCTTGGTCAGAGGAAACAGAGCCATGGGTGTGGAAGCTAAGTCAGGCTGAAATACACTGGTGAAACATTCAGCCCTATTCAACTTGAAAGGTAGAAACACCTCGGGAAGAAACAGTGGTTTAGCAGGTTCAGCCCTGACCCATTTATATCCAGACTGTTGGGAGGCCCTTAGGGGAGCCGGTTGTCTTTTGAAAGATCCCACAGCTCAATTTAGTTTTGCCCCCAACAGCAAGACTATTGAAAGCAATAGTGTTTGGAGTTTAAAAAAACCACCTGATGGCGTTAGACCTCTGCTCTCTGATCACGTTCAGTAAGTGAAGATCAGGACATTTACTGAAATAAACATCCAAATAGACCTGACCAAAAATAGAGTTCAAGGGCAAGTGGGTCATGTCTCCATAGTATCCACAGACCACCAATTACTATCAAGTGAGAAAAGTACAATTCCAAGAAAACTCATCAGTTGCTTTTTTGTTTGTTTTTTTGAGACAGGGTCTCCCTATGGCCCCAGCTTGCCTGGAACTCACTATGTAGACCAGGCTGGCCTTGAACTCACAGAGATCCGCCTACCTCTGCAAGTGCTAATTAAAGGCGTGCGCCACCATGCCTGGCACTAAAATTACTTTTAATTCTAAAATATTAATTAATTTTGAGTTGGGGGTCTTGTTATATTACCCAGATTGACTTCTAACTCCTGGACTCAAGAGATTGGCAAGCAGCTAGGGTTAGCCTAGCATGGTGGTGCACATCTATAATCCCAGCACCCTAGAGGCTAAGTAAGGTAGGAGAATTGTGCTAATTAGAGGAAAGCCTGGGCTGCAACACAAGACCCTCTCTTAGAAAAACAGGAGCTGGGGGTGTTGGCCCATGCCTTTAATTCCAGCTCTTGGGAGGCAAAGGCAGGTGGATCTCTGTAAGACAGAGGCCAATCTGGTCTACCAAGCAAGTTCCAAAAGTTCCAAGCCAGCTGGGACTATAAAGAGAGAGACTGTCTCAAAAAAAAAGGGGGGGGGGACTGGTATGCTGAGATGGCTCAGTAGGAAAAGGAGCTTGCCTCCAAGTCTGAGGAATCTGAGCTGTGTTCCAAGAACCCATGGGGTGCTCAGTCTCCAGAACCCATAGGATGAAAGGAGAGATCCCATTCCAGCAAGTGGTCCTCTGAGCCTTACATACAATGTGGTATTCGGGTGGGTGCCAGTGCACACACAAAACAAGAAAAATTTAAAAAAGAAAAACAAACAAGCAAACAAAACACCCACCCAAAGAGAACAAAGTAACTGGGTCTTAGATGTGGAGTAGCACATCTGATTGCACCCACTTGTCCAAATAGCCCTTCCAAGAGGAGTCAGGTTAAAATGTGACCTCCCAAGGGTCTAGGAGTACTGAACAATCAAGGTGAAATTGTCAATATTCAACTGTGGTTAAGAACTGTTCTCCGGGCTTTCTGACCAGGGAGGTCACATGCAGGTCCCTACCTGGCCTGGGCCACCTTCTGGTCGCTTGGAGCGCTGCCAGAGCAAGAGCTGAGAAGCTGGTTTAGTTCTCTATGGAAGGCACTGGTGAATCCCAGCTCCCGAAAAGGAGAAGGGGGTGCTATGGGGCCCTTATCTGCCCACTTTTCAGGGGCCGGTGGTCCACCTTCAGATGCTGTCCTCAACTCGATTTCCACCCTTCTCACAAGTGCCTGCAATTGTGACTAACTTAGCACCATAGTTTCCAAGGGCCTTAAAAGTAAAAAGGGGCCATGGCTGCGCCAGGCTACTCGAATCCTGGATAAATAAATGGTCCTAGAGCCCAGCTCTTAGAGACCTGGAAAATTCAGTAGCATTGACGGGCTGACGCAAGAGTCCCAAAGGACACATTTCTCCGCAGCACACCATCTGTGAGCCAGTGTCTAGGAGCTTTCTTTCTAGCCCTTTGCGTAAATGCAAACCCTCAAAAAGTATTTAAGAAAATGAAAAGCAATCAAAATCTCCGCTCAGGCGTAGGCTGGGGTCTCCCAGCTCCCGGGAGCGACCGTGGAGGCGCGTTCTGGGCGGTCGCCCGCGCCACCCCAGTGCTCTGCGCGCAGAGGTAAAGGTCCGCTCCCTGCTAAGCAAATGAAACCTGTAAGCTTTCGGTTAATTTAAAACTTTTCTTGGCGGCAAATAGATCCACTCGGAGGCCCCGGGACAAATCCAGCGAAGGAACCCCGGCGACACGTCGCAGTCGCGCAGGGGAACTGTCCTGGTCCCCGCGTCCCGCCCCGCGCGTCCCTGTGAGCGCAGCGGGTACAGCCGCTTCATGTCCCGAGCTAGCTAGACGCTCCCTGCGGAAGCTTGCCTGGGGCCTGCGCTGGGTGACCGCGGCCCGGGTCCACCTCCCTCCCGGGGGCGGGGAGGGGGCCCCTCGGCCCCGGGTTTAGCGTCCCGCCCGGGGACGTCGTGGGCGGGCGCGGGGCACACGGTGGCGACCTGGGCATGGGAACCCGCGTTCGTACCTGTGTTCCGAGTGGGAGGCGGCGAGGAGCTGCTGCCGTGGGTCCTGGGCTGCTCTCGGGTGGGTCCCGGTGCTCTTCTGCTGCTCCTGGCTGGAGCCGCGCTCGCAGCAGGCAGGAGCGCCGCCGCTGGGCTGCGAGTCCCGAGAGCCGAGCGCGCCCGGCGCTGCGATCGTGAACACCTGTCGGCGTTGGTGCCTTTTAACCGCACCCCTCTCCCCGCCTCCCTCACCCCCGAGCAATTGAGAAAGTTAAGGAGGAGGCGGCTTCGCGCCGCCCCGCCGCCCCCAGCGCTGCGGGCGGGGCTCTTCCAGCCTCCCGGCACCCAGAGCCGCGGGCTCTTCCCGATCGCTGCGCGCCCCCAGCTCTTCCGGAGCCGGGAGATCCTCCTGATCCCTGGCCCCCACCCTCGCCCCCGGCTCCCCCAAAGTCCGGTCCGGTGCGTGGCCGGGCGGAGCCTGCCGGCTGAGTGTCCAGACCCTGAACGCGAGGCTCCAGGTCCCCGCTCCCCGGAGTATGGGGGGAATCGGTGGCGTTGAGAGAGTTGATAATGTTATTTCTGCTCTTAATAGGGGAAGTGTACTATTGCATTGAAGCTCTGCTTTATTCTTTTTTCTTATTAGAAAAGTAGGCGTTCCGACCACCTGAAACTTTCTGTGCAGGCCCGCAGGTTGCAGAGGCACGCGAAGGGACCCGCAGCGCAAAGAGCTGGGCTTCTGGAATTTGGGCTCAAGGCGGACTAACAGGGGGCGCCTCAAGGGCTAGCCAGATCCCTGCTCTACCGCCCTGCATTCCCCATTTAATTTGATCACTTTGAACAGAGCGCCAAGAGCTAGGTGATGTGGCGGTGATTCGGTAGGGCTGGCCTGGGAGTGGGATCTCAGCCGGACGCTGGACGCTGACGCGCCTCAGTCTCTGCCTGGGCCCTGCTAGCTGTGTCCCCTTTCCACAACTGAGATCTTTGCAAGGTTAGTCATTTGGGGAAAGGGTGCTCAGAAAAGAAAGTGCACCAAGGGAGCCCGCCAACCGCATTCCTCCTGGAAGCCCTGGGCAGCACGTGCCTCCAGCTCAGCTTTCTCCTCCGAGCTGGAGGCAGGTTATGAGGTCTCAGTGTTCATTCACATTGGTTGGCTATTTGGATATTTTGAGATGCAGATGATACTAAGTAGACATTCCCAGAGCATTCCGATAAATTGAAATGTCAAGAGCAAGCTGAGCTTGAGGACACCTCGGCCAGCTTCGCCCCACTCAGGTTCCTGCTTCTTGGGTCCTGCCAGCCTTGGGTGCAGGCTACGCGTCCCACTAGGTTTTCTCAGATCAGTTTTACATGAAGTGAAGATGGTGATTCATTCTGACAAGGTCCGTCTGGTCTAAGGAATGGCTTTCGATGATAAGACCATAGCTGAAGGTACAGGCTTTTCCTTGCAAATCTGGCTCGTTGCCGTGGGCCCATCTGGGCTGCTTTTGTCTGGGTAAACGTGAATTTTGTACCGTGGTTACTACCCCATCTTCTAACTGCAAGTCTTAGTCTAAGAGGGAGTGTCTGTTCCTGAAGAGACAAAGCCCCAGGAGGCCCAGATCCCTATATGGCCCATGTAGAGACATGCTCAATCAGCTGGTGAGGAATGACAGGCCAAGCCAGATGGGGCTGTGCAACTTCTTGGGGGGTGAGGGTGGGGGGAGTCTGTACCTTTAATTTCTCATGAGTAGTACTGTTTTCATTCAATTGGAGTTCTTGGTCAGTTAGTATGAAAGAAGGTTCTAGAACCACTGTAGAAAGTTGGCTAGTTAAAGAAGGTTGGAAATCAGAATTGACTCACTTTCCCCAATTGAAAAATTGGGGAAAACCTGAGGTTTTAGTGTCCATAGTATGACCATAAGTTCAGCTTCCAGTTCCCTTTTCCCTGACTTGTTGCTTCTACACATTTGCATAATGACTGTGTGTTGGCTGATGATCACAACCAAGGGGGAATTTTAGGATTTATCTCTTCAACTCCTACTGACTTAAGTCTTCACTCCAGAATTCAGCACTTGATTAGTTTTCTTCTGTTTCACTAGATTTTTCTTGTTTCTCTGTGTTGGATTTTTTTCCCAACTAGACTAGAAGATCCTCTAGGGCACGAAATTTTAAATCTCTCTTCTCTCTCTCTCTCTCTCTCTCTCTCTCTCTCTCTCGTGTTTATACTCCAGAGTAGGAGAAAAAGCCAGGGGAAGCTAGAAAAGAGCTGGGAAAGGTTTGGTTATTTGAAATTCTCTCCAAATGAGGTTAGATATATATCCAATTAACAGGTCATACTGCAAATTAATGTTTTAAAAAGAATCCCTGTAATGATTTTATTAGTAACACTCATAGTACTGCACCTTTTTCTATTACAAGCATTAATTTAATAAACAAGAACATTGGAAATAAACCACAGTTTTCTCACCCTGAGTTCCCATGTTTTCCTGTTTCAACACATGGCCCAAGAGAAGCTCAGCCCATCAGTCTGCCTTCCAACACCCAGGCCTCCCAGCAGCACAGTGGGAAGGGAGTGGGAGCTCACGTCCCTGCTACCGACCAGCTCACCTTCATCATACAAACAAGGCATGGTTTTTGAGGATTTTAAGCAGAATCCTGTGGCATCTCTCAGATTGACCTTGAATGAAGCTAATAGCAAAACCAGGCAGTAGTGAGGGATGAGCAGAGACATATTCATGATTAACCGTGAGGATCTGTAACAACAGCACCTTGGCCTGTCCAAGTATCAGTACAGGTGAGTGCTGCTTACTCATAGGGTTAATACTGACAGCATAAATCTCTGGTGATTTTCACTGAGCTGGATTCATGCAAGTGTTGAAAGTGATGCACTTGTAAAGTTGTAAGTGAAGAATGCTAATGTTTAAGCTATTTGGTATTTTAATTTGATAGTTGCTTTATAAATAAGTTCAAAAGAAAAATAACTTGCTGTTGTGCAAAAAAAAAATCAGTATAAGAGAAGTTATATTCTGATGAATGATTGCTTGCCAGCTCCCTCTTGAAATTCCTCCATGGAAAGGATGCTCCGAATGCTCTTTAAAAATGTCTCACATTTCTGACACACAAATCAAATGTAGGTGGTGGCAAAAAATGTTGTAAGACAAGAAAAGACCTGTGGGTGCCTGGAGCCCCTGTCCTGCCGCTTGGCAGTTTTAAGGAACCTGGATCTGCCTCTGGGAGAGCCATTAGCCCTTTGGGTCACACCATCTTTTCTTAACTTCGCTATTGAAATATTAATCATACTAGTATGATTAATAATTGTATTCAGCTCTTCCCAAAATAGCATTTGGAATCCAAAGAGCCTCTGGCTTCCCTGGATAATTAATAGTGGCTTACATATGATAATGTAATTTCACTGCAGGAGTGGCTTCCTGTGATCCTGTCAGTCCGTGTGGGCGATTATTACAGGGGACATGCTTTCACTACAATTTCTGTTGTTGTTATTTTGTTTTGTTTTGGAGTCCAAGTCTCTAGCCCAGGCGGTCTTGAACTCCCTTTGTAGCCAAGGATGATCTTGAATTGATGAGTCTGTCTCTACCTCCCCAGGACTGGGATTACAGTAAGCACTTCCACATCTGCTTTGCTATAATTTCTTTCTTGATCTCGAAATCACACCTTTTTATGTTTTTTGAGCATTATTAATCTTAAATCATTTAGGAGGAAAAAGCCAATTGTTCTATTCAGAGTAAAAATGAAAACACTTCCAAACTTCTCTAACTTAATTGTGCTTCTCTTTCAAATCAAAGATGTTTAAATTTCCAACATTCAAGTAGTGACAAACTGTTGTAAGTGGTTCTATTTGCCCCATTTTATTCTAATTTTGGCACATAAGCTATTCTGGTGCAACTGAGGTAGCTGTGTGTGTCTCAGATGCAAGACAGAGGTAGCAGTAGATGATCTCCTTGGCATTGTTGGATGCACAGTCTTTTACTTACAAACACATCTGTGTGGCTCTTTTGTGGTTATTTAAGCAAAGAGAGGAAGAATTACAAAGATATTTCCAAATGTATTTATACCAAAAGTACATACATATTGTTCTGAAATGAATGCACAGCTATAACTACTTTGGTTGGCTAGTAGGAAACATTTATTTCTGTTGAATATAAAATTAAATTCTATTTGTTGTCAACATGGGGAGATTCTGCATCATCCACAAAGGCACATGTGAGATGTCTGTTTTATAATTTGTGTGACAACAATATTTTGCCCTATGTTATTGTGAAGAGTTTTTGAAACAAGTTAGAGTAACATGTTCACGTGCTGCTGTAGAAAAAATTAGCCAGGATTGACGGCTACTGCTTCATGGCTATGTTATATTTGATAGGCTACAGCAACTTTGTGTGAAACACTAGTTTTCAGTGTCCTGAATCTAAGTTTTTTATTTGCTGGAAATCACTGATTATGTGTTCAGTTTGCTCCCAAGGTCCCAGTTAAGGGGGTGTTCTGCAACTTCACATCCCCCTTTTGAGGACTGGCTATGAAGTCTTTAGTCTTAGGGTTCATGTATGTGGTGTCTATTCATTTAAACGCCTCCTTAAACTGTTTGAGAGCCATTTCTACTTGGGGAGAAACATGCACTGATTCGATCCCTTGGTTGAAAAAAAAGGAAAGAAAAATTCTCTGGGCAGGGTGAAAATGAGAAGCAAGTGCTTGCAATACCCAGAGTTCACAGTAGATGGCACTGGAGAGACTTGCCCAGAAGCTCTGCTGTGAGCATATTTTACAAGTTACCTTCTAGTTTAGTCTTGCAGGGCCTGATCTCATGAGTAGGCTGGGAAATTCTAGGTTTGGTCCCAGGTTCCTTTCTGCTTTCTGTTTCCTTCCTTCCTTCCTTTCTTCCTTCCTTCCTTCTTTCCTTCCTTCCCTCTCTCCCTCCCTCCTCCCCCTCCCCCTCCCCCTTCTTCTTCTTCTTCTTCTTCTTCTTCTTCTTCTTCTTCTTCTTCTTCTTCTTCTTCTTCTTCTTCCTCTTATTCTTCTTCCTCTTTTAATAACATGAAACAGAATAGAAAAGAGACTATCAAGATGCATTTCTCTTAGCAAAGGATAAGTAATACATTGTGAAATGTTTGTGTACTTCTTGCTCTTGGTCTCTGGCACAAGCGAACGTGGAAAGCCACTGTTCTGCTCCATTCCAGGGCAACAAGATGTATCATGGTGGCTTCAGGTGA